TCTAGCTACTTTTGCTCAAACTCTGGTCCTGGACCCATACTAAATAATAGATCAATTACTGTGTGGTCAAGTAAGGTTCAATTACATCAACTAGTCAAGAGGGCCCCAGATTTTGGGTATAGGATTCAAGAGTAGGGACCCGGTGCTGATAACTGTTCTTATGTGGACCTCTGAGGTACCGCTGTGTACCTCAGAGGATGTGCCACAAGTTTGAATGCTATGGTGAGAGACACTACTGTCTAGTCACAAGGAACATTACAGGAGCTTTTAGAAGGTGGGTTCAGGACTGTTGATAGGGTCTTTGATTAGCTTTCTGCTTTAAAAAAATGGCAAATGAGATTATTTAAGTGCTTCTAGGTTTCTATGCCAAAACACCGAAAATGGAATAGCGCGTGATCGTCAGGAATCGCTGTCTTAGCGATCTGAAGCTGTGAAACCTGAGGCAGCTATTGATCTTGTGCAGCTGCTGGTGAGCGGGGTCAGCAGGTAGAAGCACCTGTGCAAGCCTGACTGCCCACACTGACTCCTTGCAGCCGCAGAGGAAGGGACCTGACTGCTGAAGGTTGTAGACCTTTGTTGGTGTTTGGTGAGGCTCTGCTTTCCGCCCCACAGGCATGCGTCTGTAAGACAAAGGGTGAAGGCCTCTCTGGAGCCTTTTCACAGGGCATTAGTCTCTCTCACGAGGACTTTTTCCAATGACTTGATCATCTTCCAAAGGCCTTACCTCTAAATGTGAGAGTAAAGCTCTCAATATGTGAATTTGCAGCAGGCCACATAGACATTGGGATCAGGGTAGGGAATAAATCGAGGAGAAAAATGACCCACCAAACTGGACATGAACTGATGGGTGCCTGTGGCTAAGTTCATTAAGGAGAAATGGACAGTGGGGCTATGGACTCAGTGAGGTTCTTTTTGGATCTTGCCAGCCTTGATACCATGACCCCCTCTTGCTTCTCTTTACATTCAGGGCTCACTCCATTGATTGGGCTCCTATGGGATGAATTGGATGGATCCAGAAGTCATGACTCATGAAAAACTGTCGTTACAGAAGCCCAGCAAAGCTCACTGTTTGAAGCTACTGCAGTGCACAGCACTGGCTGTTTATAAAGTTCTGGGCTGCCCCTTTGGGTTTCCTGGTGAACCTCTGAAACGGTGCTGTGGGAGAGAATGGATTGTCCTCCACCTGACCACTTTGTTTACGCCTTGGTTATCAAATCACTATGAGATATCCTGGTGAGCAAGGAACAAAATTACAGTGTTTAATGACATCAGACTAATAGCCAGGCAACACACAGGCGGGGGACTCTTTGGGCTTTTTTGTGATGTGAGTGTGCTGTCAACTGTTGCCTCTTTTTTCTCACACTATCCTTGTGTGTACATATGTGTGTATAATGTATATATATCTTCATATGGGCGCACAAGCATATGGAGGCCGGAAGTCAGTGTTGGGTGCCTTCCTTGATTGCTCTACCTTACTTTTTGAAACAGGCTTTCTAATTGAACCCAAAGCTCACAAACTTGGCTAGGCTGCCTGGCCAGGAAGCTCAGAGTCTCCTATCAGGATCTCCCTGCTGCCGGGTTTGCAGATGCGTGCTGTGGCAGCCAGATTTCGCATCCGGGTGCTGGGGATCTGAACTCAGGTCTTCATGCTTGCCCAGCAGGCACCTTGCTGGCGGAGCCATTCTCCTCTTCTCAACAGTTGCCTCTTTGAGGCCGCTTTCTTGTGGTCTAAGTAGAGCTTTCTTAGACCACCTCTGATGGATTCTTCTTTTCCCAGTAACATTTCTGATCTGGTTAACACCATGATGCCAATAAAGGAAGCTCACCGCTGTCTTTGCAGCTGACACAAGAGGCAATTTGTCCTTGAGGTTCTGTTTGCACAATTGACACCCGCCATTATTTATTGGTTTGGACCTAGGTGTCTGTGGGATGTTCATGGACAATCACCATCTCCGGTTTATAAAGAAGGAAGCCAGGCTTAGAGAAGTTGCCACAGGGGGCGTTTCAGGGTGCTGTATCCAGCAAGTGGGGCACTGTTGGATTTTTCTGACTCTAAACTCTGAGTTCTTTGTTCCCCTCCACTTTCTCAGGATTGGGTCCCCATAGTCATTGTATCACCCCTTTTATTGTGTAGTCCCCCCTGGGATGTGCTCTGTTGGATGAGGCTGAATGATTTATAAGGGAGGCCATCCTGATGTATCATAGAGAAGGGGGAAACCTGAAGAGGGAGGGGCCAAACTGTAAGACTAGAGATGCTGTGGCCCATTCCCAGACCTGTGAAGAAATGAGCGATTACCCACTGATTCCATAATGTGGGACCTTGAAACACAGTCACGACCAGGTCGCCACACTTTGTTTATCTTTTCATTGTTCTCATTTGGCAATAGAGGGATGTGTGTCGTGGTGACAAAGGCTGGTGTCCTGGGGAAACATAAGCACCAGAATCCACCTCTCTCAGCTTCCTGAATGCAGGCGAAATGTGACCATCTGCCTCCCACTGCAGCTCCCACGCCTCCCACCATGGTGGCTTTAAACCAGGAGACACAACAAATTTTTCCACCTTTAAGTTGCTTCTTGTCAGGCATTTGGTCAGATGAATGAGAAAAGTAATAAGGACAAATGTTTGTTTTGTCCATTTTGTCCCAGCATGGTTTCTCTTTGTTTTATTACCAGGCGAGCACGTGGGTGAGTGGGTGCCTTAGACTAGACTGTATTTCGTGTTTCCTCTGTCTGGCCGGTGCTCCCCTGGAAGCACGCTTAAAGCAACTACCAGAAAAGGAGGAATGGGATCTTGGTAGATAAGACCCAGAAGTATACGGAGCATTTGGCAGACTTCTAATGGGCCTATACCACCGTCAGGCTTTTAGGCTGGGCGGTGACATGAGGGATACAGGTACAGAGTCAAACACTGAAGTATCACACCTGGACTGGATCAGGACCACAGAGGCCAGCTCCTTCATCCTCTCCCCAGTTCTGAGGGACAGTCTTGGATGTTTGGCCTAGCAGTGTGTTATGATGTGATATAGAAATTGTCATCCTTGCGCACAGATGCTAGGAAATCAATCATGATTCTTGATGGGCCTGAGGATGCTCTCAGGACCAGGCAGCCTCTTCTTTGATCTTTGAGGTGACCCCCTGGGACTTTCCCAGGGAGCCATGGTCCTCAGGACCAGGTGGCTACTGTACCTACCTTTTATCATTGTTGTCATGGGACACTGCATTTGCAGTGGACTCTCAAGGCTCTTTTGTGGCCATCTTGAGAGCTTTTCCAGAACAAGGAAACTGTTCTAGCCTTAACTTCTCAGTGCCTACTGGCTGAGTGACTGGGAGAGCTGGTCTTCTTCTGACTTGTATTTGGGTAGCAGGGTAACAGAGGGTCACCAGGCAACTGGCTTAAAGGATGACCAGAAGGTTCATCGGGACAGTTTGCTCCAATGCGTAACTTACTGTGTTTACCCAGCGATTGAATAAGGCTCTAATCAGGACAGTCAAAATCTTTCTAATGAGATTTTTGAATAATATTTCTTCACAGATCATATTGCAAGGAAATATTTATGGAGAAATGAGTCATTACTTATTATTAAACTTAAAGGACTTTTGAAGGTTATAAATAAACTCTTCATCATCCACTCAAAAGTAATAGAGCTCGTGACTTTTCTGCTCCAAACAGTTGCATTCCAGCTTGCCTTTTCCTGCCATTCAGCTTATATCTAGCTTTATCTCACCCACCACCAGTTGGTGGGTGTTTAAGAAGTGAAAAATAATTTTAATATTTGCCAAGGTGAAATATATTTAATTTGGTAAATCTGCTACTTAAAAGAGCATGGGGAAAATACCCAGACAATACAGAGGTTATTTCTGAATTGTCTTTTGTTGTCAATTATTTCTATTAGATGATCCTTTTATTTTCATGGGTGATTATATGTATTTTTTAAAAACCGTGGTAAAACAAAGCAGAGTAAATAAAATCTATAACCAAGGGGCAAAGTAGAAGGAAAAATATTAATTAGCTACATAGCTTTTTATTTCTATTATCTGTGTTTCCATCTATCCATCCATCTTCCGTTCACCCACCTGTCAACCCAATGGATCCCATTTCTATCTATTCACCCGTCTACCCACTCACCTATTCATCCACTCATTAACCCAGCCGCTCATTCATCCATCCATCTACCCACCCTGCCCATCCCAGAGAGTCCATCTTCATTTATTCATCCATGCATACACGCATCTATCCATGCATGCATGCATCCATCCTTACACC